AGGAAGAAGCGTCACTGCACCGACCTGGCAGGCGTGCTGCAGCGGATTTACGCGTGGATTTCTGTCAACGCAAAATCCCGAAACGGAGAGCGAAAAACGAAGTGAATTTCAGTCTTCCTGACCCAACAAAATCCGCACGAAATTCACTTCGAAATCTGGGACGAAATTCTGCAAGACGATCCAGGCCCATCCCATGGTTTTCCGAACGAATCCGCACTGCGATGTTGGCACCAAGAGACAAACTGCATAAACATAAACTTTCGGAGCTCCGCGCGGAGCGCCAAGAGTTTCTGCTTCTGTTTTTGCTCTGCCATGACTCTCGCAGATTGAGCCGGTGGCATCGTGTGCTCTCCATGCCAGAGCAGTCGCGCACAACCCAAAAGTTGATGCTTATGTCGTTTTTCTTCTTCAGGGAGGGGAGGGGGGGGCTCCGCCCTCGGATGTGCGCTCGCCCCCCACACACACCACACTGCGCAGCCCACGCCTCCATCGGGCACACGCCAAGCAGCGGGTACGTATAGAGCCAGCGCCGCCTGCTCTGGCGACGGAGGGCGCCCGACCTCCATGAGAGCAGGGCCCGTCACGAACCCACGCGCCGTGGTCTCATGCTTGCGCATCCTGAATTCGAGCTCGTGGAGCCCTGCCTCTCCCCCTAGACCCCCTCGCGTCGCGAGTAAGAAACACGAAGTGCACTTTTCCAGCGCTCGGCCTCCCGGGGCCCCCCCGCCAGGCCCCGGAGCTCCCGAAGTACCACTCATAATCGCAGAGCCGGTCCCAGGGAACGGGCCGAGACCTTCGCCCGGGTCGGCTCCGCCAGGAGTCCGCTTCGCCGGGGCGGTTCCGCCTGTGGTCCGTTTCGCCCGGGCGGGTGGGCGGGTCGAGCGGGCGGGGCCCTGCCGGGCCAGTCGGTTCGGGCGGGCGGAGCCCCAACGGGCGGGCCGGCCGGGCGGGGCACCACAGCGGGCGGGGTCTTGCCAGCGAGTGAGAGAGAGAGGAATTATCCCAGTGCGACCCTACCTAGGAGTTGGAACCCCTAGGAAAGCAGCATTAGTAGTAACAGTAACGCTGAGCAACAGCTAAGCTACAGCTAAGCTACAGCTAAGCTAAAGCTAAGCTAAAGCTAAGCTAAAGCTAAGCTAAAGCTAAGCTAAAGCTAAGCTAAAGCTAAGCTAAAGCTAAGCTAAAGTTAAGCTAAAGCTAAGCTAAAGCTAAGCTAAAGCTAAGTTAAAGCTAAAGCTAAAGCTAAAGCTAAAGCTCCCAGGGGACTGGGGGGAACCGCTCCCAGGGGACTGGGGGAACCGCCCGGGGCGCTTTGCACTGCCCGGCCCCTTTAAGCTAATTGAGTAAGAACCCTTCTAGGCAGAGCCTAGGTAGGGAACAACAAAAAAACAAATGAATTCACGGGCGAGACTGGGCCGGGGTAAAACCGGCCGCGGGCGAACCCGTCCTGCCCCAGGATCTCCGAAGGCCCGCGCTGTGACGAGAGCATGGTATGGGGGCACTGGGCCGCCCTCACCCTGGGCTTCCGTCTCGGCAAAGGGAGGCGTCCCCCTGCTCGGCTGCAGGGTCCTCCTGTGAGCCGTCGACACGAGCAGTGGGCATGGCGACCCCCAGGTAGGCGTTTCCAAAGTACGGGCTTCGACATTTGGCCGAAGGGTGGCGGAGGGGGGGGTTCTGGATCTGGGCCCGTGCTCAGTCGATCTGCTTGTGCCAGTCGCGCCAGCAGGGGAAGGGGCCCCGACCCGTCGCCAACAGCAGCCAAGATCTGGTCAATGGAGGGGGGGAGGGGGGAGGCCAGGTGGCCGCGCCGATCGGCGAAGCAACGAATAAAAAACGGCGAGAATCCCCATCCCCGACATGGTTGAACGGTCGCTCGCAAGTAGGCCACCTCCATCAGAGGCTCCTGGGGTGTTTCAGAAAGCGGTGAGCTGCTCGGACCTATCAGAGCGAGCTGCTGGACCTCCGCCACAAACTTACCCCAATCCCCGACTTTGTGGCACTTTCGACGGGAAAACCAATTCGGGACAAAACTCGGGGATATACAATGGGCGGGCGTCCATCCTCGATTATTAGGGGTGCGTCCGAGTAGCCCCCTGGGGATGCCCGAGTTCCCCTTCCTTCTAAACGGGTTGATTTTTCGGGGGGTAGGGCGAGACCTCACCTGCGAGAGGGGGGGAGGAGGAGGAGGAGGATGAGGAAGAGAAGGAGGAGGAGGGGGAGCAGGAAGAGGAGGAGGAGGAGGAGGAGGAGGAGGACGAGGAAAGGAGAAGGAGGAGGAGGAAGAGAAGGAGGAGGAGGAGGAGGAGGAGCAGGAAGAGGAGGAGGAGGACGAGAAGGAGGAGGAGGAGGAGGAGGAGGAGAAGGAGGAGGAGCAGCAACACGAGGATGATAATCGGCGCCTCTTCTTGAATTCGTCCACGCCCTTCGTCATCTCTGGCTGGAACGCCTGGCGCCTGGCCGCCCTGGTCTCGGCGATGTTGGACGCTTCTCTCTCCATCGCCTCGGGCCCAAGACTCGATGAGGACGACGACGAAGGGATCGAGGCTCGAGGGCCGACTGCTGAGGCAGAGGCAGCCCCTGGAGGTAATACTGGCCCCGCCCTGCTTCACCCGGGGCGGTCTCAGCAGCCCCGGCGGCGACGAGCTGCCGAGACCGCCCAAGGCTGCTCGGGGGGCCTGCCGGGGCCAGGGAGGGCTGCTCGGGGGACGTCTGCGCGCAGCCCCGAGGCCTGCCAGGGCCGATGTCTCAGACGCCTGCGGCATCCTCCCGGAGCCCTTCCTGAAGACGAGACCAGGGACCTCTAGGCTCTGGGGACCCCCTGGGGGCCTTCAGATGCCCTCGGGAGCCTCCTGGGGGAGGGCCCGCTGCATCGGAGCCCATGCCACCGACGTCAGGGCTTTGCTCGGAACGTGGATAGGGGGCCACATGCGAGCCCTACCCCTACCCCCCACGATTCTTGAAGGGGGGGGTGGGGTTCACTTCGTTCGGGAGCTCCCGAGCGAAGTGAACCCCACCCTCCCCCTCAGAAATCGAGGGGGGTATGGGGTAGGGTTCGCATGTGGCCCCCTAGCGGACCCCCTGGTGGTCTCGACCCCTTCCCTGGGACCAGTTCTTCACCTTGAGTCGTTTTGGCAGGGTCCCAGAGCCCAGCGAGTGCTCCTGGGAGCCGAACATAGCAGCAGCAGCGACAATAACAAGAACAACAATAACAACAACAACAACAACAACAACAACAACAACAACAACAACAACAACAACAACAACAACAACAACAACAACAACAACAATAACAACAACGACAACAACAACAACAACACCAACAACAACACCAACAACAACAACAGCGGCAGCAGCAACAACAACAACAACAACAGCAGCAGCAGCAGCAGCCGCAGCAACAACAACAGCAACAACAACAACAACAGCAGCAGCAGCAGCCGCAGCAACAACAACAGCAACAACAACAACAACAATTACTAGCACGTGGGGACACTCCGTTCTCACCAGTGCCAGGGTTTTCATAGGAGGCGGGCAATACCCCCACTTTGTGGGGGGGCCGGTTCAAGCTCTACCAAATTTCCAAACGACTCTTCGCCACCACCCACACCCAGCTTCCCGCCCTATGACGTTCGGACACTTCACTTCGTGGCATGCGGACGACCGTGGCTACTATTCAGGGCCCCGCGGCCGACGACGACGGCGTGCGCGCGCGAAGAAAAAACGAATGTGTCCCGCATGGTATTATTTGACAGGGATGATGGCCCTGGCAGGTGCGCAACCGTTGTTGCAGAAGTTCGAAAAAGTTGCTCGCAAAAGCCCGTTTGACAGAAATGTTTAAAAAGTGTTGGGTTTCCTACGAATCCGCAAGAGCGCGCGGGATGAGATTTTGACATTTTTTTGTTGAAAAACCATTGGTTTTTTGATGTTTTTATGTTAAAATCGCTGCGAACACTAAGGTTTTGGAAGGATTTCGTCTTGCGCGCGCGAATGTCCACTTTACCTTATTTTTTGCAAGGGATTCTTGAAATTTGATTATATTAGAACAAGAAATGTCATTTTCTATTGTTTTTTGCAAGGGAAAGCGGATTACAACAAAACAACCGGATCCTGTACACACCCTCTTTTCTGAGGCTTCCTCACGAAAATGATGAAAATGTAGCTGCGGCCTAGGCGGCGCAGGGGGGGCGCGCACCAGGGGGCCCAACAATAATTATTCTTTAGAATAAATAATGTTCAACAACAACAACAACAACAGCCGCAGCAGCAGCAGCAGCAGCAGCAACAACAACAACAATTACAACAACAACAACAAGAACAACAACAACAATCAATTTACCCTCATGCGCCATCTTTCCACACGAAGCATGCGACCATCATGATAACCATCCACATCATGGGGGACTCTTGTTCTATAGCGGGGTCCGTTATTCCCATTCCCAGATCTCCCGCCCAATGAGGTCTTGCAAACACCTCTTCCGAGGAATTTCAACATATCCCGCAACAACAACAACAACAACAACAACAATCAGGTTAAGACTGTTCGCTCCGATCTGCTCACGTGCCAGTCAATACGTATATCCAACACCCTCGGTACCCGCCCTCGTCGTCTTCGATCGTACCCCTTTGGGGGTAGATATTCCTTACCTGCCACGTGCATTTAGTGCAGCCCCTAAAACAAAGGAAGAGAGGACGGGCGAAAGGGGGAGGGAGAATAATGGAGCACGAGAGAAATTAGCAGGAGGGGGGCACGGAGCAGAAAACTAGTGGTAGAACCAGACGGGCAGATCGGGTGGGCAGACCCATAGCGGGCAGGTCGGGAAGGCGGGCCCAGGCGACCAGGTCGAGCAGGCGGGTTGCTGAAGCGTGGGTCCTGCATGAATCGCGAGGACGTCTCGAGCGATAGCGCGATTCCCAAGTAAATCGTAAGAAAAGCCAAAGCGAGAACGTGATTCCTGAGCGCCGAGGGCGCATCGTCTGAATAAATTGCGAGGAAGTCCCAGGCGAGAGCGCGATGCGTACATGAATTGTGAGGAAGCCCCGCGCGAGAGCGCGATTTGGCAAGAAATTGCAAGGAAATATCAAGCGGGATCCGTTGTATTTGTAAGCCGGGTGCCAGGGGCCCAGTTTGAGCCCCATGACTTTCCCTGATAAAAAATCGGGTGCGAGCCCCGGGGGAAGCACGTCAATTGAAAAAACACAATGGTCACTGGAGGGGAGATCAACAATAATATTCTTCAGTAGAGAAAATTCAACAGCAACAACAACAACGACGAAGACGAAGACGAGACGACGACGACGACGACGACGACGACGACGACGACGACGACGACGACGACGACAACAACAACAATAACAACAACAACAACAAAAACAACAAACACAACAACAATCATTCCAAGACTGTTCGCTCCTACTGGCCCGCGTGTCATTCACTATGCATATCCCAAACCCTGGATACCCGCCCTCTTCGTCGTCGATCGTACCCCCTTTTGGGGGTTATATCCCTTCCTGGCCACGTGTAATTGGAGAAGCCCCTAAACAGGGAAACGAAAAAAAAGAGGACGAAGGGATCGGAGGAAGGGAGGGATTAGAGGGGCAAGAGGGAGGGACGAAGGGATCGGAGGAAGGGAGGGAGCCGTTGTTGTTGTAGCCGGGGGCCCAGAGGCACAGTTTGGCCCGGATGACGTTCCCTGTCAAATGAACATGGTGCGAGCGTCGAGGGGCGCACTTGGATTGAGAAAAAAACAATGCGCACCGGTGGGGGGGACCAACAGAAATCATTCTTCAGGAATGAAAGTCCAACATCAGCTGACGTGCGAAGGAGAGGGAATCGGAAGGAGGGGGGAGGCGGCCCGGAGGAGGGAGGAGCAGGAAGGTAAGAGTGCGAACGTTCGAAGACGTCCTAGGCGCAAGCGCCATTCCACAAGGAAGTCTCGGGCGGCAGCCCACGACGGGCGGGCGATCGATCCTCTGACGGGCGGGTCGGGCGGGTCGGACATTCAAGCGGGATGCCTGAGTAGGGCGAGAGCGCGATTCCTAAGTAAATTGTGACGGCGTCCTTGGCGCGAGCGTGGTGCCTGAGCGAAGATAGCGCGATTTCTGAATAAACTGCGAAGAATTCACAGGCGAGAGCGCAATTCCTGAAAAAGGGGATGTCTGGCGGGAGCGGGGGTCTAGACTAAAGCGCAAGGAAATCTTAAGCGGGAGCGCCGTTCTTGAGTAAATTGCGATGAAGCCTCAGACGGGAGGGGGGGCCTGACTAAATTGCGAGGAAGTCACAGGCGGGAGCGCCGATCCTGAGTAATTTGGGAGGAAGTCTCAGGCGGGAGCGGGGGTCCTGAGTAAAATTGGAGGAAGTCTCAAGCGGGACCCGTTGTTGTTGTAGTCCAGGGGAGCAACAATTCAGTTTGACCAAAACTAAATTGTGAGGAAGTCTCAAGCGGGAGCGCCGTTCCTGAGTAAATTGGGAGGAAGTCTCAGACGGGAGGGGGGGGTCCTGAGTAAACTTGGAGGACGTCTCAGGCGGGAGCCGTTGTTTTTGTAGTCCGGGGGGCCAGGGGCCCAGTTTGACCAGGAAGACTTTCCCTGTCAAAAAACAAGGTGCGAGCGTCGAGGGGCACACTTTGACTGAGAAAAACAATGCACCGGTGAGGGGTGACCAACAATAACTATTCCTCAGACATGGAAATTCAACAACAACAACAACAACAACAACAACAACAACAACAACAACAACAACAACAACAACAACAATCATTTTACCCGAACGCGTGGTGTTCTCCCCAGTGCCAGGGTTTTCATACGACACCAGGCAATACCCCCACTTCGTGGGGGGGCATTACAAGCTCTACCAAATATCCAAACGACTCTTCGCGACCACCCAAACCCAGCTTCCCGCCCTATGACGTTGGGACACTTCACTTCGTGGCGTGCGGACGACCGTGGCTACTACACTGGCGTGGGGTACACACCCACAGAACTTGGTCACTTATTCGGGGCGCGCATGTGCCCAGCATGGTGCAATTGTGCCATACAATACATAATACAGAGAGACAGAGAGAGAGACAGAGAGAGAGACAGACAATTGTGATTTTATGATGCGCGGTGGTAAAATTCTTAAGAACCCAATGGTTTTTGGAGATTTCGGCGTGCGCGCGCAAAAAACGAATGTGTCCCGCATGGTATTATTTGACAGGGATGATGGCCCTGGCAGGTGCGCAACCGTTGTCGCAGAAGTTCGAAAAAGTTGCTCGCAAAAGCCCGTTTGACAGAAATGTTTAAAAAGTGTTGGGTTTCCTACGAATCCGCAAGAGCGCGCGGGATGAGATTTTGACATTTTTTTGTTGAAAAACCATTGGTTTTTTGATGTTTTTATGTTAAAATCGCTCCGAACACTAAGCTTTTGGAAGGATTTCGTCTTGCGCGCGCGAATGTCCACTTTACCTTATTTTTTGCAAGGGATTCTTGAAATTTGATTATATTAGAACAAGAAATGTCATT